TGGGTTAGCTTAACAATGGTAACACCGGTTCTAGGCTCTTTAAAAGTAAGCTGCACCTACAATGTTTGAACAAATGTATATCCTCGTCAATTCCAATTTCCCAATCCATGAAGTTATGAGGAAAAAGTAAACAAGGACAGTCGATTACCGTTGAAGTGGACCGGCGGTGATTTCTTCCTCCGCCCCCTTCTCCTCTTCGTTGTGTGAGACTTAAGGGAAGGGTAAAAACGTAAAATTAATATTTTCGTCACGATGATGACAATTTTCAAAAAACTTAAATGGTAGTTTAAGACAATATGTAAACAGGTACAGTTTGTAAATTTCGTGAACAATAAAGGTAGTTTAAGAGATTTATCCAGAATAAATACAATTGTTAAAGGGTAATTGTTCAAAATCCACCATCACTTTTTATGAATTCTCTTAAACTCATCATAACTTTTAGAAACCTCCAAAGCTCACCATGTCAGTGAGATAACAGTAACTTGACTAACAGGCATGGTTAGTCCAACAACAAAGTGAACTAAATGTTTACTCAAGGAGGCCCCGTGTTATTCAGCAAAACCAATCATCGAAACCTATGGCGGATTCACCATAAGATTCACAAAGAGGTGTTGTTACAATTGATGATCTGRATSTTCCCATTGCTATAAGAAAGGGGGTAAGATCTTGTACTCAACATCCGATTTCAAATCATTTGTCATATTGCCGTTTATCTAACACTCATAGGGCATTTGTATCTCAACTTGATAATATAACAATTCCTGCAAATATATATGATGCCTTAAGARATTCAAAATGGAATGCTGCTGTTTTGAAAGAGATGAAGGCACTAAATGACAATAATACATGGGAAATTGTAAACATGCATGAAGGGAAGAAGTTAGTGGGCTGTAAGTAGATTTTTACGGTGAAAGTAGGCTTGGAAGGGAAAATAGAGAGATACAAGGCGCGTTTGGTTGCTCAAGGGTATAAGCAAACATACGGGCTTGACTACGAAGAAACTTTTGCACCAGTTGCAAAATTGAACTCTATACGGGTTCTCTTGTCTATGGCAGCCAACTTGGATTGGGAATTGCACCAAATGGATGTTGCATAGTTCACTCGATTCAGCATAGTTATGAAAAGATTTGGATACACACAAGGACAAACAGATCAAACCCTTTTCATAAAACAATCAAGGGATGGAAAAAAATCAATATTGATTGTGTATGTTGATGATATGGTAATCACTGGTGATGACAATGATGAGATTACGAATCTCAAGGGCCTACTACAATCTGAGTTCAAAGTTAAGGATCTCGGAAAACTTCAGTATTTCCTTAGGATGGAAATTGTTAGAAGCAAAACTGATATTTTCATTTCTCAAAGAAAATGCATCTTAAATCTATTGAAGAAAACCGAGAAGCTTGGTTGTCGTCCAGCTAGCACTCCACTAGAGAAGAATTGGAAGCATAAGATCTCTAAGAATGATCCTCCAGCTAACAAAGAGAGATATCAATGTCTTGTGGGAAAACTAATCTATCTATCACTTACTAGGCCCGATATTGCCTATAGTGTTAGCATAGTTAGTCAGTTTATGCATGCTCCAACCGAGAGACATCAGTGTGCTRTTGATCAGATCCTTAGATATTTGAAAGGAACTCCTAGCAAGGGTATATTGTTCAAGAAAAKTGATAACCGGTTAGTTGAGGGATTTGCAAATGCTAATTGGGCTGGTTCGGTTGATGACARTAAGTCTACTACAGGATATTGTACAAAGGTTTGGGGGAATGTTGTTACATAGCGAAGTAAGAAACAAACTGTTGTGTCCAAAAGTAATGCAGAAGCAAAATACAGGGCAATTGCACAAGGGATTTGTGAGTTAATATGGCTTGAACGACTACTGTCAGACTTAAATGTTCCACTTGATAGTCCAATGAAATTGTATAGTAACAATAAGTCAGCAATAGCAATTGTACACAACCCTATTCAACATGATTGAATGAAGTATGTTCACATTGACAGAAATTTCATCAAATTAGAGATCGAAAGTGGAAAAATTTGTCTATCCTATGTGCCATCTGGATCACAGGAAGTAGACATCCTCACTAAACCATTACTTAGGGTCGAGTTTGAGACAAATGTATTCAAACTGAGAATGATTGATATACATTCACCAGCTTGAGGGGGAGTGTTGGAAAGGGATGACGAGGATTATTCCTTGTGGAATCTGAGTCAGAATCTTTACCCTTTTTTTTAGTTATTTATTTTCTTATTTAATGGGTTATTTCCTAGAATAGCTCCTATATTGATTCTTATAAGTTGTATATATTTGTACAGATCTTCTCAATGAAATTAGAACAGAAATCTTCAAACATTTGTTTCTGTCTTCAAGGACTTCACCTCTAAGTGGAGAATATGAATGTGGATGGAGAACCAAATGATAGACAACTTGCTGAGGTCCACCAAAAAAGGGGCAAGAAATTAGAAAAGAAATAGAACTCTTGCTATTAGGGTAAATAGTGGACGGAAAAATCAATTAGAACTAGAAGAGGTTGGTGAAAAAAGCAAGGTAAGTTCCAAACAATACGCAGAATTTACTTAACCAATTGAACCTGCAAGCCTTTTTGCTGGCAACAAATACAGGAACAGGATGATGCATAATAGCTGCCTCCACCAATTTTCATTCTTGGGAAAAACACTACTCGTCAGGGACATATAAAGCGGAGAAAAGAGCATGAACAAAAACAAGAGGTGAGAAGAAAGCATATTAAAAAGAATGAAATATATTAATTACATCTGCTAATCTTCATTTTTCTTTTCCTTTTTTTTTTTTTTTTATACACTGGTTCCCTTTGTATGTGGATGTTGATCTGGCTCTTAGGGGGTGGTCTCATCATCCTCCCTCGGAATAATACGTCCCAATTACTGCTGTTGCAGTTCATTCAAAATGCTTCTTCAAACCTCCATAGAAGCCCACTTCAACGAATTCTTCCTGATCCAACATCCATGTTAGTGTGTTAGCCTGTTAGGAACGCTTTATATATACAAAAAGGAGGCAACAGTGTGAGTAACTTTCCCCAAATTTCCATCTTTATCCTCAATGATCCTTGGACCCACAAACCACAATGAAGTTGGAAGTTTCCTTCACATTGTATAAGGTCGTCCTGCTGCCACCTCACATTGCCACAGAGGATTATATTAGATTTGGTTCGAGTCCTCAGATAACAAGACATGCATGCTTTTCAAGATCAACCCTCTGTATCCTTCCTTTTCTTGCCTGGTTTGTTGTTTGGCTTTGGATTGTCTATTGGGTCCAAAGTGGGTAGAACCTTCTGATAAACAATGGTGGAGTCCAGTGTGTATAGTCGAAGAGCAAGGGAGGTAACAGTAGGGGTCTTGGCTGCAGCAGATAGGGATGACCAATACCACCAATCATTCTTCAAGTACTCTGTCTTAATCATGTCCTCGAATATGATAGTTGCTTGAACCATCTGCAAGAATAAATCAATATTTTGTTCAAACTTCATTCAACTCTTGAGAAACTAAG